AAGCACTAAATTTTTGAATGCTAATGCTACAGAAAGGGGTAACTCCATTAGTAAAATTAAAATAGGACATGTGGAGCTTACTGAACTAGGTAGTATTGAAATAACTTTTATTAACCATTTCAAGAAAGCTTTATAGGAAAAGAAGAAATCATTTTAGTCTTGAGAATGTTATATTCGATGGATTGCCTTCAGAAATGGCTTTATGGCTAGAAGACATTTCGAAATGGATGAGATAAAAGGTGATGTCTTCTCCTTGGGGATAGATAAGGCACCAGGCCTGACGGTTTTCCTTTAGCCTTTTTTCAAATATTTTGGGAGCTTCTAAAGGAAGATCTCTTTTTACTCATGGATGAATTTTATCATAGAGGTAAAATCTTGACAACAGTAAATTCTACCTTTATTGCTTTAATTCTTAAAAAAATTGTTATAGAGAGTGTAAAAGACATAAGGCCTATTAGCCTACTGGGGAGTGTTTATAAAATTGTTGCAAAGATTTTGGGAAATAGATTGAGAGAAGTATTACATCTGGTTTTGAAAGGTCCTCAATTTGCTTTCTTCAAAGACAGACACATTATGGACAATATCTTAATGGCATAAGAATGCATATACTTAAGGCTGAAAGAGAAAAAACCAGGTCTTTTATGTAACATAGATTTGACATGTTCTACATGAAATCTTAGGGAAGATGGGTTTTAGATCACGTTGGAGAGTGTGGATCCAATGATGTTTGAAGTCAACTCATTTCTCCATCATTTTCAATGAAAAATCTTGTGGTTATTTTAAAGCATCAAAAGACATTCAACACGGAGATCCTTTGTCCCCACACTTATATACTATTATGGTAAAACGTTTTAGTACTATACTGAGCTCTGTGGTGAGTAGAGGCCTTATTGCTGGATTTAATGTTGATACACTAACAATCTCTCACTTACAATATATAGATGATATATTATCTTTTGTAGCCCAGAAGAACAAGAAGTAAGGAATTTGTGGGTGTTCTTAAAGTGTATAGAAATAGCAACATGTCTAAAAGTGAATTTAGAAAAGACAAATTTGATTGGGATTGAAGTTTCAGAGAATGTGGTGGCATCTTTGGTAGAAATTCTTAGATGTGGGGTTGGCAAGTTTCCTTGCAAATATTTGGGTATTCCTTTATTTGGAGGAAACCAATGGACAATTATTTGGGATTCTATTATTGAAAGATTAATAAGAAACTGGATGTATGGAAATCTAAAGTGTTGTAGTTTAGAGGAAGATCTACTCTTATCAACTCTACATATCTATTTTATGTCTATTTTCAAAATTCCAAAGCAAGTGGTGAAGACTTTGGAAAACATTATGAGATCTTTTTTATGGGGCAATATAGGAATGAGAAAAAAGCTGAAACTTGTAAATTGAGAAAATGTATGCACTTCCAAGAGAGAAGGGGGTCTAGGAGTTAAAAATCTCAAATTGATGAACACTAGCCTATTGACTAAGTAGTGGTGACGCTTCCAAAACTAGCAGGATAGCTTATGGGGAGAGGTATTAAAAGAAAATACAGAGTACATGTTTTGACTGGCCTTTAAATTTGGTTTTTCAAGTATTTGGAAGGAATTGATGCGTTCCGATCATTATATCTTAGTTATTGTCGCAAAGTGGTTGGAAAGGGAGATCACACCTTGTTCTGGTTTGATAAGTGGTTGGGGGACCTTGCTCTTCGAGATTATTTCATGTGGTCTTCTCCAAAGTCGACAATCCATTCACCTCAGTGAAAAATCTCAGAGGAGCTGATTTTATTAACTCTTATTGGAATATTGTTTGCAAGTACATGAGGGTCTCGGATTCTTTCTTTCATGAATTCCAATTGCTTATGAATCTGTTGTATAACATTTTCTATGTTCCCCATAAAGATGATCTATTGGTGTGGAACTCACAGCTTCAGGGGATTTTTTAGTTAAGTCTGTCTATCAACTGTTGCATGAGGAGAATGATAGAGCAATTGATCGTAGTTTAGCAAGAATTTGGAATTTACAGGTGCCGCTGAGGGTTCAGTTATTTTTGTGGGTAGCTCGTAAAAAAAAGCTGCTTACTATGGATAACCTTCGTAAGAGAGGTTTCATAATTGTCAATAGTTGTAGGTTATGTTTGAGGGATAACGAAAGTGTGGACCATATTTTTTTATATTGTCCTTTCACTCTAAGCATGTGGGATTGGTGTAGAAAGTTGTTGAATCTAAATATCCTGATCCCACAAAGCCTAGAGTTGGTCCTCTCTCAATGGATGAACCCTAGTTTGTCGAAAGTTGGAACTGTGCTATGGAGAGCTTCATGGATGATCACTATTTGCAATATTTGGAAAGAAAAAAATAGAAGAACATTTGAAGGGACAAAAAGTGAGATTGAAGTTTTGAAGTCCAACACGTTAGCAACAACAGCTGAATGGTTTTCAACAAACAATGATTGTAAGTTCATACCAAAATCACAGATTTTTGAGAACCCATATGAAGTTGCTAAGCTTAATAATATCAGACAGACAGAAAATGCTATTTGGATGCCTCCTCATGAAAATTGCTTAAAACTCAACTTTGATAGAAGCTCGACTAGAAACCAGGCCCAGCAGGTTATGATGGTACCATTAGATATCATATGGGTAATCACAAATTCACCTACTTAGGACCATGTAGTTACAATAGTGAATGAAGCTGAGGCAATAACTCTTTTAGAGGGTCTAAAGATAATAAGGAACCTCAAGGGCCAAAAGATGATTGAAGGTGATTGAAGCAATGTTATTGCTTAGGCAAAAGGATAAATGAAGCCACCTTGGAGATTATGCGGCATTTTCGATGAAATCTTTTTCATTTTAGGTAGTAGTTCTATTGAGTTGTCTCATTGTTTTAGGGAGGCTAATATAGAAGCTGATGCTTTAGTAAAAGGTAGTGTGCGCCAACATTCATTGTGGTTACATCCTTTTCTTCTTGAACCTCATTGTAATTGTTCATGGGTGAACGAAATTCATAGTAACTGATTTAGAAAAGGGTAAAGTTTATGTAGAGCCGAGGCTTTAAACAATCAAATTCGAGTCTACCTCAAAAATTTCACTAGAAGAGTTTTTTGATGCCCAAATATGCTCAAATTTATAATCTCAACATACAGATGCATGGACATGAGAAAAAAATGGATTTCAAGTTTTGAGAATAGTATATTTGATAACGCACTTTTGGACCGTCAATTTTCAAGATTTTCAAGTTTTTATAGATCTCTTGATGTACACTTTAAACTTTATAAATAAAGACGAAAATATATTTTAAAGCTAACAAAAAGATTTCCAGTATTGAAACTACATTTCTCGACATTATTTGAAGGTAGGCTCTAATTTGATTGTTTAGAGCCTAGGCTCTATACAAACCGCACCCTTCCAAAAAAGAGAAGAAGCTCCCATGGCTGTCCATCTTCTCATGCAATTTTTTGGCCTGAACTGTAGGCAGAATTCCAAATCAACGTGATTCATAGTTGCTATATCAAGCTCAGATTCTTCAACAGGGAGCACTTCTCAAAGTTCATGCTCCCAAGCCCTAATGTCATGGTCCCAGACTTTAATTTAAGGTTCAGAAAACCTAATGTCAGGGTCCTAAGCTCTAGTTCATATTCAGAAATCCTAAATTTGATGACCTTAACATTGGGGTTTTGAATCCCCATCGCTCTCTTTTAACTTCTTAAGCAGACCACCTTCTCTCTCTCTCTCTCATGTACTTTTCATTTCTCCAGCTCTCTCTCTCTCTCTCTCTCTCTCGTGCAATCTTGTTTTCATCTCTCCAACTTTCCTTTCTAGAAACGTCTCTTTGTTCAGCTCTGCCCTCTCTTAAAACAAACCGCTTAACTTAAACAAAGAGGGAAAAACTATGGGTTTTGGAGCTTTGATTTCCAGCTCCTAAAAAAACCCTAATTTCAGGCTTATCACAATCCTTAGGCTTATCGAGAACCCTAATCACAGGTTCACAACCCCTTATTTAAAGCACCGCTGCCATCGATTTCCTCCCCAATCTCGACCTCTTTTATTGGTTTGACAGACTTGCAACTCAAACGACAAAACTGCAGCAATGGCGATGGAGGGGAAAAACACTAATTCTTTTGTCCATGGAAAGAGGGGTAAATAGGTCATTTTCCCCTTTGAAGAAAACCTACGTGAAGGTGAACGCCAAACTCAAAAAACAAAGAAAAATGCTTATATAGAGCCGACGCTCCAAACAATCAAATTAAAACCCACCTAAAAAATTTCACGAAAAGATGTTTTGATGCTCAAATATCCTCAAATTGATAATCCCGACATCAAGATGTATAGGCATGAAAAAAAATGGACTTCAAGTTTTAAAAATAGTGCATCTTGTAAAGCAATTTTGGACCATCAATTTTCAAGATTTTCATAGCTTTACTCTATGCTATTTTCGAATCTTTAAATTTTATAATTAAAAACGAAAATATATTTTAAAGCCATCACAAAGATTTCCAGTATTAAAACTACATTTCTCAATAATATTTGAAAATGCGCTCTACTTTGATTATTTAGAGCCTCGACTCTATACAAAGTACAAACCACACCCTTAAAACATATACGCTAATAATACTTATCTTTAATACAAGCTGGTCTCAATTACCATTACCCAGATGTGAAGCGCGTGAAATGTTCGGCTAGAGTTTCATCGTTGATAGGCGCAAATCAAAGAGATAGTTTCATCCTCCAAACAGTCAAATTTCATATCTAACGACCATAGATAATTGTGACATCAAATAATCTTTATAGCATAGAATCCCTAAAAGAGGCTGGCAATATTTTAGAGATATGTGGCTATAACAATCTAGGGCAAGGTTCATCATGGCAAATCTGGCAAACGATTCTTCTAATTCCAAGGTAACAATTATGACTGAAAGTTAATGGTTTAACCGAGAGAATCCTAAACAAAACGCACATAAAATGGAAAAAGGACGCTATAAATAATGTTTGAGAGAATTCCTAACCCATGCTTAGAAATGGCATTTCATTTACAATGGTAGGAGCCTCCAAGGAAAATGGTGGTAAATGTAACATCTAAAGATCTGGGTTTAATAGATTCTAATGATCTCTTTCTCAGTTAGAAGAGTCGATTTTTTCATCAACCCTTCGAGGTGGAGGTCATTTATCTCAAGAAATCATTTGAACCACCAAAATACTCCCTCTTTCTCTCCTCTCTCTCTATCTCAGCGTTCCGTTTACAATGATAGGAATCTCACAATAAATACTCTCTCTCAAATCCATATTTAGATATGGCATTTTATTTACCTCACAATAAATACTCACTCTCTTCTATGATAAATGACCCTCCAATTTCTCAAACTTCCTAGCTATGTTATGGTGGTTGTTGCTCTTATAGAGTTCAATTAAAGATTTTATGGCATCAGATATCAAAGCCTTCCTCTGCTTATATAACTCATCCACAGAGGAAACAGATTCATCTCTCTCAAAATTGGTTGCAGTATCTTCTGAGGGAGGATCAGCCTGAGTTTGTTCTATTGAAGAGCATGTTGACTTGAGCCAGACTTCAAAAAATGAAGTTTTCTGAACAAAACAAAGCCTGTATCAGTTTGGCCTCACTACAATATCACCGCAGTGCAGATTAGGAGAAACTAGTGAAATGCCTGTAGTCCTGAAAGAGACCATCAGAACAACCAAGTTTTTGAATGTTCTCAGATAACTCACACTTTCCTTCCAGCAATGACACAAAAAAAAGTAAACCCTGCTCACCTCTTTTGCAGCAGAGCCAACTCTCTCTCTCTCTCTCTCTCTCTCTCTCTCTCTCTCTCTCTACTCTACTACTACCTACTACTACCTACTACACGTACGTACGTACGTACGTACGTACGTAACGTACGTAGTACGTAGTACGTAGTACGTACG